AAATATACAAGAAGACCTTTCAACAAATAAGGAATTAATCTAAACCTATAAGGAAAACAATAAAATTACAGAATATACAGAGACATAATGTAAATCCTAATAAGGAAAAAACTTAATTTACGGCTTGATTTTCTACAAATCTACAAATAGTGTAGGAGGAGAATAAAATAGGGAGGCAAGTTAGTTGGAGGATTATGCTTTTTGTATTTAGTGACTTGGTGCAATGAGGATAGGTATGAGAGCTTCCCCACCCTCTTGAATAGGTGGGTTGAGTGTGTAATGCCTACGGGCTTGTTTCTTTGATTTCAGAATAGTAAAACAATAAGGAGGATACCTCACATAGTTTGATGAGAAAGAAACAGTAGAGTTATCAAAGACCAAGAGAAGTCCAAGGATAATTTGTGGGATGACATTGTTTCTCGTCATTTCCTTGACATTCGGATTCCATGAAAATAAATGGTCCCTTGAGATGATCTTATAAAAGATTAATCGGTCTAAATTTGCTAATCCTTCAAATCCTTTTGGTAATGAAATAAATGTATGCTTCATTGATACACAAATTGACATCTACCTTGTCAAAGCTAACAAAATATTTCTCAAATTATTTTGATAACATCCCAAGTATGAGATAGAAAATAATGGAAAAACCATGGGACACTACTAGTCATCAATCTTAAAAGCTCTCTGTAGCCAAATTTGGTCCACTTCCTTAGTAGCTGGCTCCAATCAAATACTTCAAGCCTATTCTTGGCAAAAGTGATCCATCCTTATAAATAATAGAAGAAATGGAGAAGTTCTACCTCCTACTCATAGTGACTTATGAAAGAAGCCTTCTTCAAGACACATAATGCAAGACTTTTGCCTCCAACTAGACGCTTCCTAAGAAGAGCCTCCTCCAACATCTTCCAGAGATCCAAACTCTTTTCCTCACTCTTTTCCTCAGGCCCTTGACAACATTATCATTCTTTTTCATTCCTATTAAAACCATAAACTTAACAGTTAACAATGATCTCACTTTCATTGATCCCAATATCAAGCACTCCCCAAATACTGTCCAATCTCCTCACAAAATAGAAACACTACCAATCTTCTACATTAGACTGTAGATGCTTAAATTACTTTCGAGAGAGAGGAATACAAGACAAAGGCTAACACATGAATAGCATACAACCCTAAAAGCTTAGCTGTCTCCGATATAGAACCATCAAGCGTGGAAATTAGATCCAATAGAGCTTGCATACCCTGAAAAATAAGTAATTTCAGCAATCGCCTTAAGATTCTTGATAAAATCAAATAACAAACACACAGATATATAGACAGAGAGAGAAACCGGAAGAAATTTAGAATTGTTAGGACCAATTTGAGGGCCACATTCCGGAGACCTAACAGTTGACTTAAGAGGGAGAATCTGAAGAAGCTCTGGAGGCGGCGAATAATCATCAAGATCCACAGGGTTCCTGACTGAGCTCAATAAAGCAACACATGTCATATCATTCGTCCAGAGTTGGAAAATGAGATGAAAACAATAATCCACCCACCTTTTACGGCCAAGAGAGCACGTAGGCGTGCTAAGGCACTCGCACGATTCTTATGCTGCGATCGATCCTCCACAGCCTTGGCAATAAAGGGTCAAAGAATTAACTCCAAAGCAAAAGCAAAAGCAGTTAATTGAAAAGTAAACCCAAAAAATTTTATCAGATTAATATTAACCTGAGCAGTGATACCAGTGGGGATGTGCTTCAAACGGACGGCAGACTCACGCTTGTTGCGGTGCTGACCTCCAGGACCAGACGCCTTAAACGTGTCCATTTCGCACTGTCTCATCAGCTCTTCGTCAGACAAAACCAAGAACTCCCTCCCTTTCGCACTACTAGAGCTGCTGCATCTGGAACGGAGCGAGTAAAACAAGAAAGAACCCTCGGATTGCTTATGTGAAGAACCCCAATGATTCAATGGATGCCGAAATGTACAGCAAAACCTTCTGGATCTACTACTGCTGCCTCTCGGACAAGGAAGTCTGAGAATCTTAGCAGATTTCAATACCACATTTGTGGTTGCCATTTTCCCACTGCATAAGAAATTTTCTCCTTCTCGATCACGGCTATGGACAAATGGAAGCTATGAAAATCATGGCTTCCCACTGCAGCAGATGCATATATGATAGATGAGGAACTGCTAGTTTTCCATGTTTGCGGCTTCAGTGTGAGACTCTGAGCAAAATCAAGAAATTGCGATGCTCAAATATGGCCTGGAAACACCCTAGTAGCAAAACAGCCTCAATCTAGACCAACCCCAATCCACTCAAATTTAGTAATTTGAAATTCGAGAAATCATTTAAAATTCTTTTATCTTATTTGGAAGATTTAAAATGAATATAGTTAAATTTCCTTTTATGATGTTAGCCGAAAAGAAAAAGAAAATAAAAAAATGATTGATTATTGATTAGAAATTAAAATATGACAAGGTTAAATACATATTTTATTTTATGCTATTTTTGTAATTCTCTCAAAATAAAAGAGTTATAAGGAACAATACAATCAAAAGTTGAAAATATGAAGAGACAACTTTTATCTTCTTAGTAAAACAACCAGATTCCAACATCCAATGCCTTTACCAATTAAGGCAGTTTGGGATTACTTTTTGAGCTAAAACTAATTATTGGAGAATTTAGTTGGCTACCAAGAAACTTGCTGATCCGTATTCTAAATTAGAACATGGTCAATTTGAATGTTAAGCCAGGGATGAAGGCGATGAAAGGTCACGGTATTGTCTGAAGATTGGAAGAAAGAAATGAGAAGAGAGGTGTTAAATTATAGTTTATTTTATTTTAAAGGTTTCCTATTTTATTTAGGTTAGGGTTTTATTGTTCTAATAGGTAAGTATTTCCTTATCATAATAGGCAAGAATTTCTTTTTAGTTTCTTCTTTGTGACTGCTATTTATATAGCCTTGTATCAATCATTTGGAGTAATCAAGGAAGAATTATTTTCTTTTCTTATTATTAACAAGAGGGATGTTGAAAGAGGAGGATAGAAAAATGTCATTTAAGAAAAAAAAGAATAAAGAATAATAAAATTTGTTAACTCATTTAAAAAATACACATCACCAAAGTCTAGTCAACATAAATTAGCTACCGCATCATCATTTTGTTAGGTCAACTAACGGTCAACTCAATGACCCAATTAGAAACTAAATTCAAATTTCATTGACAAATTAAAAACTCAATTCAAATTTCATAACCAAACATGTCACTTTTAAAACTTCGAATTGAAACTAAATTTAAATCTCGAGGTCAAATAATTATGGTTTTTTAAACTCATGAACCAATGACCAATCTTCGTTCGATCGGTTTAGCATAGCTAGATTTAAAACCTCACCAATGTTTTTAAAATCGGTTGAGGCGCGCGCCTTGAGGCGAAGCGTGAAGATGGTGCCTCGAAACCTATGCCTACCATAAATCACAAGAGGCTTACGCCTTTGTTAGTAGAGGCGTAAGCCTCTATGCAACGCCTGTGAGGCGTTAAAGGCGTAAGCCTCTATTTTGACTAGGCAAGACTGAGCTTTGGCGGTTATAGGCCATTCTCGATTGTTGGAAATTATTGAACCACCAAAAGGGCAATTATTATATGCTTTTATAGGAATGTTATAATCTTAGGACTACAAAGTTTAATGTTTTATCTTTTATGGATTTTATTCATTTATTCTTTCCATTTAAAATGAGGCTTATGCCTCGTACCGCCTCAAGGCTTACGCCTCGCCTCTCCTCGAGGAAAAGCCTCGAATCCGCCTTAAGCCTTTTAAAACCTTGAGCCTTACAGTGGTGTCCTACGTCAACTTTTTTTGGGAATTATTCTTTATATTCATTTTCATTATTTCAATGAGAAGTCACCCCAACCATACTCTAAGGGACCATATTTTCCCAACCACAACCATATCCCACAAAGGCATCAAAATTTTATAGGGAAGCTTATAGAAATGACTAATGAGAACACATTATTCCTTGCTTCCAAACTACCTATTCCAAGCCTCTTTTCCCCACTCGTTCTTAACACAAGATTCCAAAAAAAAAAAAAACCATATTTTCATAAAGCAGAGGAAGGATATACAACCAGCAGTGCAAAATAGAATAGCCAATCCATAAAGCAGAGCCATGACAAAACAAAACAAAGGCAAAAGCCAAACAAGAGTAGATAAAAGTGTTCTAAGAATAAGAAATAAAAGCATAAATACGCTTGTGGGGTTCTGTGCAAACTGCAAATTGGGTTGAATTTTGACAAAATACAGAATGTGTTAAGCCCCACTCTTAGTAACTCAAATAGCCATAGAAATGTGTTGGAAATGAGAAAAAATGAAAGAGATCCCAGAACCTGCATCTTAGTTGACCCTAATCATTAGTTACTGGAAGAAGATGAACCGAGTAACCTGCCTTCCTTCTTTCTAAGACCAATATAAAGAACTCAAGGAAGACAATCAAGATAGAAAACAAGATTTTTGGCTAATTCAATGAATTGAGGCTAACATTAAAGTGAAAGGAAATTACTGTGGCTTTTTACCAGCGAAAATCTGCTTAAAGGACAAAGATCAAAGTTTTACTACAAACTTGAGCACCTATCAAAAGATGGACTTCTTAATCGGAAAAGTTGCATGGGGAAGTTTTCATTTTCAAAAGTCATGGGGAAGTGCACACAACAGAAGACAAAACGAAAAAGGTTTCACAAAAAAAGAAGCCCACAGCGAAAGGAAAAGAAGTAGAGACCTCTTCCGAATAATCCTGTCTTAGCCTTGACTGCTCTTTAGTCGGTGAAGAAGAAACGACACTTGTTTTTTATTCTGACCCATCAGAGATTCCCAACTATTTAGATTCCCAAATATTTTTTCTTAAGCTTCCAAGAAGATCAAACCGAGCCACCTCAGTCAAAAGTGGCCTCAAAACAAAAAGGGAAAGAACTGGTTGCCTTAGAGACAGAGATGGCAACGCCATTGACAAGTAAACAGCAGAGCCGAGAGAGTCTCACCAAGGAATCACAACCCAGCTTGGCCTTTCACAAAAGAGATGAATTTTGCTCTCAGAAACACCATATGTGCATTAGACCGATTGCAGCAAAAGGAACTACCACCGGGAAAGGAAACGCCTCAAGATAAAAGCTGACTAGAGAACTTGTAGGCTTGTTTAGAACTTGGGAAAAAGAAATAGACTTAGAGTCTGAAGAAGAGGAGTTAGTTAGTTCTACCCTAGGCCGAGAGGTTAATCCATGAAGATCCTCTCCCTGGAATGTTCGTGTGCTGGGAGCTGCTTCCAAGAGGGCTCTAGTGAAAGACACTACAAGAATTAGAATTTTTCCCAACGCTATAAAACGTTGGGAAAAGAGCAAAAAAACGTTGGGAGTAGTTTCTCCCGACGTTAAATATTCGCCAGCAAAAAAGTCTGCAAAAGTGCATTGGGAAAGCACATTGCCAACGTTTTATATAAAACGTTGGCAAAACCATACTTTTGCCGACCTTCAAAAAACGTTGGTAGGGCTGACTTTCTGCCAACTTTTTCTAAACGTCGGCATATCTACCAACGTTTTAAAGAAACGTTGACAGATGAAAACTTCTGCCAACGTTTAGCGAAACTTTAGCAAAGTTGCCGAAGTTATGAAAACGTCGGCAGAAGTTTCCATCTGCCAACATTTTTCAAAATGTTGGCAAAAGTTTTCATCTGTCAACGTTATCCAAAATGTTGACACATCTATTCTGCCAACGTTTTGAAAAACATCGGCAGATCTACTATTCTGCCAACGTTTTGCAAACGTCAGTATATTTATAGTTTTGAAGACGTTATTATCAAAAATGTTGGCAATATATATTTAATTTTTTTTCTAAAATAAAATGCGCTAATTTCAATCCCGACATTCTTGGGATACCTGATTTGAAGGTCAAATACCAAAATATTAAATACCAAAATATCGAATACCAAAATATATCAAATACCAAAGTATCAAATACCAAAATATCATTCAGGTTCACATATTTCAAAAGTTCTTGGATTTACACGTTCAATACGTTTCAAAAGCTACATAAACCTAAGTAGAAGTTTCATGCATTTCAAAAGCTCTAAACTTCATAGTAGCCAAATCCGAAGAACCTGAAAAATATAGTTTATGTAAGCACAAAGTACTTATAAGCCAAAATGATCACCACTTTATATATCTGTGAAAATAAAAGCTTGATGAAAACGTAAAAATATCTAAGAGAGAGAAATTCCGCACCCACCAACATAAAACATAAAACATAGCTAACAAAAACAAATTTTGCACCTACAAACATATAACATAAAACATAGCTAACAAAAATCACATTTCTCACCACAACCACAAACAAAATTAAATTAAATTAAAAATAATTAACCCCATAAAGATCCTCCCCTTAAAAACGCAATAA